AGAGAGGGAAATAAAGTTTAGGATGCTCCCAGATAAACTTTTATCTTCTCACAGAAGCGAGAAGCAGCTCATGATATTTCCTATCTGTGACGTCTTTGCTCTGATGGAAGTTTGAAAGTTTATCCTACACAGTTTCTAAATCTGTGTTAGGATTATTGCTCCATCACTCCAAGCAATCTAACATTTCCTTAGCGATATAACTGTGAAGTTTGAGAAGGTATATCGCCACAACAAGCAGGACAGAAAATGTTTTAGGCACTCGCTGTGAGTCAAGCTGCAAACACTGACCCCCAGAGATGGGAAAGGATACAGTGGCTTGCAAAAGTACTCGGCCCCCTTGAACTTTTCCACATTTTGTCACATTACAGCCACAAACATGAATCAATTTTATTGGAATTCCACGTGAAAGACCAACACAAAGTGGTGCACACGTGAGAAGTGGAACGAAAATCATACATGATTCCAAACATTTTTTACAAATAAATAACTGAAAAGTGGGGTTCTTCCACATGACAATCACTGACTTCAGAAGAAGATGAAGAGGAGGAGGAGGAGGGTTCATTACCCCCTGAACAGCTGTTTCACATGGATCAAATTAAAGCCGTCCTCCCCAGTCTCATAAATCATGGGCCATACCTCCTTTTTGACACAGAGTGTGTCGTATGTTTTGTCTTTAATAGCTTTGTTGTATGAAATGTTCTTTAGTGGTCGCTGGATTTCAACAGTATTATGCTGCATATATTATTTCCAGTAATTCTATCTGTGATGGCAGTCACATCTGTGTCCACTACATTTCCAGTGATGGAGCTGCTCTGTGGTGCAGAAGGAGATTGCTACAGGATTTCCTCTCAGCTAGCACCTGCTTGCAGGATTAGACAAACCCACATTTAGAGCATTTGGTGACTCTGAATGACTTTCCTGTTGGAGATGTTGCCTATAAAGCTCTTTTTGTTTTTGTGTTATGTTTTTGTTTTGTTTTGTTTTTTTGTTTTTTTTTGGGGGGGGGGGGGGGGGTTGTATAAAAGAAAAGACAACAACAACAACAACAATAAAACTCTGGCTGAAATTATTTCAGCGCAATCAATCCAACATTTGTGTAATCTTTAAACAAACAGCATCTTTTCATTCCTTCAGACTGATCGGTACTATGAGCAGCACTTTTCAGATTGTGTTCACCTCAGCTGTGTGTGTGAGGGTACACAACTCGGCTGACAGCATCCCCACGCTGTAAGTCTAATTGAGCCTCACTGAGACCTGTGTGCATGTGTGTGGATCCCCACAGAGGTGGGCCTGATTTTCTTTGATAGCACATAGTGCAGATTACTGAAAGACACTGATGAATACAGGACACACACACACAGCTGAGAGATGAGGTTTTCTATATGTTTACACAGCCAGTGTTCCTCTCAGACGTCCCATAGCAGCTCAAATGATTTTCCCCTTTATGAATTCCTATATTTGGCTGCTCGGGCTTCACACTAGGGCTTATTTTTTATTACGTTTTGTTTGCCATAAAACACTCTGATCAGACTCTTTTAGGACCGTCTGCTCCAGAGTCTCGGACTCGTTTTACTGCACAGGTCATTTTTAATATGTCAGTTTATTTGGGTTACTGCAAATGTGCCAAGAATGACAAATACTTTCCAAATGATTTCTGCTATTTTTGCTTCGTGTTGTGTCTTGTTTTTGTGTTGAATAATTGCATTAAACCCTTCATCAGTGCACTCTACACTGTCACCAAAAAGAGTGAATTTAGAATTGACTGAAATTAACTACAGAGCATATTTATGACTCTTAAAAGGTGACGTTGAGTGTTGGCAATATAAGTGGTAATTTTGACATTCAGCACCACCAGCACTGCTGGATTAGTTGTATTGTTTACTCCTTATGCACAATGCTGATGGCAGGTGGGAGAAGACTAAATATTTCCTTCCATCCTTAGACACACTACAGGGAAGCTGACACGCTGAGGCTGTTTTTATTTTTAACATACTAGCAATGTAGTATTGGAGTAATTAAGGTAATATATCACATCATTTGATGCCACAAGAGATCGAAATAAGTGCACTATAAATCCTTTCAAGCTTGTTGACCACTTCAAAAGAAGCCTTATTGAGTTTTTTTGGGAGTAATTCATTCGAAATCATCTTTTGAGTATTGAAAATGGAAAACCAGCCAAGTTAAGCTCCTCAAAGTTGAAATAATGCATTAAATAAACTTCAAATATAAAGCTCAGTGAGACCCTGGTATTTTAATAGTCTCAGCAGAAACAGCTGTGAGAATGTTCAAATTCTAAATAATAATCTGACTGCTTTGCTAGGATGTGGCATTAAAAGGTTTAGCACCCCTTGATTAAATTATTATTGTTGTTGTACTTTAAGGCATTTCATTTGAAGTTTGTTTTACGCAGCCTGATTACAAATGTCCACTACTCCCTACTGTGTTTGCACTGTTTTAATCTAATGATATATGGGTCTTTCATTGCCAGCATCTTTTGCAGCATTTTTTGCAGAACCTTTTGGTTAAAACAGGTGGGCTTTTTGTTTGTTCATCTTAAACTAAAAATCAGGTTAACCCTTTAAAACCAGTCAGAGCAGCACGCTCCGTTTTGCGCAACTACTTTTAAATCCTTGTAGCACTGCAACCGTGTAAGCTAGCGCAATAATTTTTTTTGCATATGAAACCGGAGGAGTTGTACTTACATCTTATGCCATCAGCTTGTCCTAGGCCACGGTTTCCTTCCACGTAAAGCTTTGCAAAAACTGCATAAAAAGCACTTGCAGCAACAAAAACATAATATTCCAGAAACACGTTTTGCCGATCCGATCAGCTGTTCGTAACACTTTCTACGGCAGCATGAACTATCGCATGTCTGCCATTGGCTGTATCCCAATTCAGGGTCTGCAGCCTTAAAGGCCGCATTTCAAGGCCGATTACGTCACAGCGGCACGCCGAAGGCTGTCCCAATTCAAAGGCTGCTTGAAATGCGGCCCTGAAATGCGTCCTTCATTTCCCTGAATTTTAAGGCTGTGGCAGTGTAGACTTCATGGCCCAACATATCCCAGAATGCATAGCGCGGCGATGGGTGTGGATAAATTTGCAGAAAAAAACGGCGGATGAGGGGCGCCGAAGAGTGAACTTTAAGTACTGACTATTATGTCACTTATTTATGTGCAAATGTTTAATAACGAAGAACATTAAACATTACTGTTGGCAACATGTCGGCAAAGTTATGTGACATTAGTGACGTTTGTACTAACTTGGTTTTAAAGCCTCTACTTTAAAATATACGCCGTTCAATAGCTGAGCTTAATCTTACAGAGAATGATCAAAGCTCATGTAGAAACAAACAAACAAATGAACAAAACATTTTCTCCTTCATTTCTGTCAAACAAAGCTATGACACGTTTCCAGCTGTTAGTATCATGGTTGCTAGGCAACCTGGGCAATTAAAAAAAATTTTTTTAACTTTATCGACAAACAACAGTATCAGCAGAGGCTAGACCGTCCCACAAGCCTCGCACTTCCGGCCTTAGCGGTCTTTGAGTACGCGGCCCTTGAGGATCGTTGAGGCTGCGTACTTTAAGGCTGCAGACCCTGAATTGGGATACAGCCAGTACCTGCCTGAAACCGGAAGTGACGACATTGTCGCGGAAATGTAGTTTTTTACCATCAGCGCCTTATGAGCCTATACTGGTGTTTTTAAAAGTTATGTTTGACTTTATGACTTTCTGTGTCGTTTCTGGGATGCTGAGGACTCATATTGCACTGCTGGAAATAGTTTATTTTGATGCATGTGCTGTTTTTTTTGCACATTTGCATTATAATATTTATTTTCGTTTTTCCTGCAGTATATAAAAATTGGTGTGTTTAAAAAATAAAACTATGAAGACACTCAAAATAAATTTCCTGTGGTGGGAAACTAGTTTGTGCAACTTTTTTGTATTTACAGTTTTGAGGGATAAGCCTCTTAAATTTCTCTAACTAGAAATATATGTTAAAAAAAAAATAAAGTGATTTTCAATTGTTTTGTAGTTTATTGCACTTTCTTGCAATTTATGTAATTTCTTTGCACTTAATGCAGACATATTATTAAAATTTGGGCTATAACAGTTGTATTGATGTATAGCAACTTGAAATGCTCCCAAAAATGGCTCCACAGCATGTAAAAATATAATATAAGCTCTGGCGGACTTGGTTCTATGGTAGGTCTTAAAGGGTTAATAAACTAAAGCAGTAGGTAAACCAAGGAAAGCAGATGCAGTCTTGAAAGCCAGAACATGTTTTTGATTTATGCGACACGTGAGATTATTACATTTATGGACCGCAAACTTTAAAAAACCAAAAGCAGCTGCCAGAGTTTACTTCCTACATTTCTGCATTCAGTCTTGACTCAAAAGATATTGATTCATCAAAACATCTGGATGTCAGTGACGCATATACATACCATTGTGTGTGGAATAGGGATGTTATTCAAGGATAACCATGATATTTAAAAATAACACCAAGTCAATAAAGCACATATGATAACAAGGTAAGTAACTGCATTATTGTTGTTTTTGTGTGCGTTCGTATATTTATGATTTCAGAGACATTAACTCTGTAACTTATATTTTGAGTTTAATTGATTTGCCAAAAAAACGTAGCACATGTTAAAAAAGTTAGATATAAGTTTTCCTGATAGTAGTATAGCTGTTATTTCTCTTTTCAGATAATCCATAGATACTGTAATATTTCATTCTCTTTTCCCTCTCAATATGAACATCGACCTTTTTTGGTACATTTAATAGACCTCTGAAATCTGTACATGCGTGTCAACAAATGATAACAAAAAGAGGTTAGTATAATTCTGTAATCAGATATACCAGGCGCAAAAAAATATCAGGATTTTTGTGCTTTTTCAGACAAAGGTTTTAACTGTAGCTAAGCACAGTTAAAACACTGTGGATCTAACAGGTTTCCCAGGACAAACCTTGAAGCTGCCGGTGTGCCTCACTCACCTCTCTCCACTCCTTTGTCCCCAGGCCTTGAACGTACAACACCACCACTGAAAAGAGAAACACAGATGCACGCCTTAAATTTATTTTTGCACCTTTCAAGACTAATGGATATCTCAAAATCAGTAAACGCAGGAAATCGCTGTTATCTAAAGATGTAAAAATATATATATATATAAAAATGTTCGTTTAAAGTAATATTTGAAAATAATCTTTTTAAAACTGTAAGTCACGTTTCTTTCTCATACAGTATTACTTTTGTAACAAAAAGCTTGCATTCCATTTTCAGTCATTTTAAGGCTCAGCGAGCAGGGCTTCGTCTTGCCACTGGCTTTCTTCGGATACCAAAACTTGCCAAACAGCTCAGACTGTGTTGAAATTTTCTCCAAATGATGAGCTGAAGGGAGGCTCCTAACCTGCTCACTGGCTGGGTCTTCTCAACACAGTAAAAGAGTAAAACACTAAAAAGATTTTATTAACAAAACAAGCACAATGGATCAGTTTATTTAACCGATGCAAATGACAGAGAAGTGTTCACATACACCACATTTGTTTTCACCCAAGCTCAAGGTGCATGCCACCAGAGACAAAGAGAAATGAAGCAGCTGCCCTGGCACTCACAGCGCCCTTTCTGGCCCACAATGAGAGGGACAGGCTGTTTTTTCCATCCCCTTTCCATCTATTGATATGCCATTATCTCTTTCCCTCTCTGCTTAGACTATATAATGAGGAAGTAGGAAGTGCCACACATCACATTTCTATTGTGAGCCTCCACCTTTCAACAGTGTCCACGCACTGCTCCCCCCCTCGATGCCACAGAGAGAGCGCTGTTGGAGAAGGAAATGACCTCAATCCTGAGGAAGGAAGAAATAACAGTCCCTCAGTCGGAGTTACCGAAGGGTTTCATCTCAGGTGTTTGCAGCAGTGAAAGCAATTGTGTTGGATTAGGGTTCAACACCAGCAAAAATCTTGCCAAATACATCTGAGCTTGTATAGTCCAGTAATAAATGAATAAATGTATCTTTGACTACTCTCCTTTCTTCATTTCTCTCTCCTTCCCCTCATCATCCTCCTTTATGCAGAAATTTTCCTTTAAATCTGTCTTTGCTTTTTCTCTTCTGTCCTTTCCACTTTTTCTTCTATATTTCTCCTTTTGCTACCAAATCAGTTTCTTCTCCTTTTCCCTGTGGTCTCTTTTTGTTAAAGTCCTCCTTCCATTTACTGATTTTCCATTTCTCCTTCCCCCTTTCCTCCTCTTTCTCTCATTCCCTCCTATGTCCTTTCTTTCCTCCCCCTCTGTGCCTCCCCTGTCCTGTGGTTCTACTCTTCCCTACTCTCCATTTTACTTCATTTCTTCTCCTCCACTCCTCTCCCCAGCCTCTCTTCTTTTCTTCTCTCTTCCACTTCAAAGCAGGTCATGGTAACAGCAGGCCATGTATAGAAATCATCATGTTTCTGCTTCAGTGGGACAGGAGGCCAGTCAACCACGATGACCCAGTCAGTGTTGGAAACCATACATCCCCATTCTCTCTGCTCTTCTCTCCAAAGGGAAATGCAGATGAAACAAGGGAAGCAAAACAGTGTTAACTGATAAAGATCAAAATGGTAAGCAAGAGGCAGAGAGTTTAGGGATGGTTGGCTAAGTGATTCATATATGGACACTCACCTGTCTGAAAGAGGTGTGGTAAGACAGAAAAAGTGAGTAAGAGTGAAATGGAGACAGAGAACAACATAAGCAAGCTTGCTGATGATGATCCATATTCATGTACACAATGCATGTTCTTGATTTAGGGCAGCAATTCTAAAATATTTGCACTGGGAGTCTGAGACTAGCTGCCTGACCTCTGAAGGAGCTCAGGACAGGCAAACATGGAAGTGTAATTTTACTGGACTGTTTCAGCCTTTGTGTTTATCGTTTGTCTCCAGCCTAATTTTGTGATTCTGAAATCACATCAAGTGTCCAAGAATCTGGTATCATAAATTTTTGTCTGCAGAGCAAATTTTCTACACAAATCTAAAATGAAAAGTACCACTGGCTTATTTTTTAGTCTGGAGCTCCATGCAAAATTTCAGAAAGACGAAGACACTGGATCAGCCCAAACTACACGGAAGGAAGCTTCTTAATGATTTGATGGCAATTACAATCACCAACTGCATTATTGTTAACACACTACACCATAATTAATTAAAATCTTGCAGCACTTGCAAGGTCCCCCTGCTCAACAACATAGACCTACAGGCCCATTTTAAGTTTGCCAGTGAACATGATTCAGAGAAGGGTGGGGAAAACATGCTTTGGTCAAATCAAAACAAAACTGAGCACTCATCAACCCATATTTAGCCCGAGGCCGAATTTAGTCAAGTTTTGCTCAAACACTTATTTCACTCAAATCTTTTTATAACTGTTTTAGGGATTTTTTTCTGGATATTTGGTTGATATTCTGTCTTTCTATTGAAATGAAACTACTATAATAATTAAAAAATATCATTTGTCTGTAAGTGAGCAAATTTACAAATTCAGTAGCTCAAATTTCAATTCAATTCAGTTCAATTCAATTTAATTTATACATCACTAAATCACAATAACAGTCACCTCAAGGTTCTTTATGTTTTAAGGTAGACCTACAATAATACATTCAGAGAAAAACCCAACAATCATATGACCTCCTATGAGCAAACACTTTGGCGACAGTGGGAAGGAAAAACTCCCTTTTAACAGGAAGAAACCTCCAGCAGAACCAGGCTCAGGGAGGGGCGGGGCCATCTGCTGCCACCATTTGGGGTGAGATGGTAAATGGTCTGCATTTGTATAGCGCTTTTCTAGTCCCTAAGGACCCCAAAGCGCTTCACACTACATTCAGTCATCCACCCATTCACACACTGGTGATGGCAAGCTACATTGTAGCCACAGCTGCCCTGGGGCACACTGACAGAGGCGAGGCTGCCGGACACTGGCGCCACCGGGCCCTCTGACCACCACCAGTAGGCAAACACGGGGTTAGTATCTTGCCCAAGGATATCTGGCATGCAGCCAGGAGGCAGCCTGGGATCGAACCACCGACCTTCTGATTAGTGGCTGACCTGCTCTGCCACCTGAGCTACAGCCACCCCATTCCACAGTCATTCACACTGAAATGAGAATTGTCCCATTTTTTTCTACAGTAAAAAGCGCTTTGGGGTCCTTAGGGACTAGTAAAGCACTATACAAATACAGGCCAGGCCATTTTAATCTTTTAAAGATGTGTCCTAAGAAACTGCATTTCTATGCAACTGAGTCATCTGACCAATTACATTTATTGGCTGAGTAATCAATGGTTGGATTACATTCAGAAAAGTACTATAAAAAATACGATATCTTACTTGTGATTACTGTCATTAATTTTTGTCCAAGCATGGACAGCATGGTAGCATAACTGTTAGCACTGTCCCAGGTTTGAAACCTGGCTTGAGCCGTTCTCTCTTTCCTGTGCCGGCATGTTTTTCCATGTATTCAGGCTTCCTCCCTCAGTCCAAAGGAATACATGTTGACTGGTGTTTCCAATGTGGCTACTTGTAGCACTATATGAATGTTTGGTTAAAAATGTTGCTTGAGTTGTCAGTAAGATGTTTATAGTCTATAAACAGGAAATTTCACCTGTTACATGCAAAATTTCGTTCTAATTATTTATGGATGAGGAACTAGCTGTTTACTCACAGCCACTCAGAAGCATTAAAATATATTAGTAGTTCAAGTGTGGATTAGGTTCAATCATTTTATCACTAGCTGCCAGTGCTTTGTGACATTATGAGTCTACACTGACCTGCACTGTCCTTTTGTGGTTTGAGGACCGGGTCAGATAGAGGGATCTAACCAGGGACATGAAAGAGCTGAGGGGGCATTGTGGTCTGTCAGTCTAGCTTTTCCTCAGTGGGGAGGAAGAGTTTGAAGTTCAGGACCCCGTCTGACACAATCATTACCTTCCAGCACGACCCTCCACCCCCACCCAGCACAGGAGCAAAGACTAATCTATGGGTTGTGTCAGTAAAGGAGCCCTGGCCTGCGGAGAGACCGTATTTGATTCTTTGCCTTTAAAATCAGTGTCGTTCAGTATAATAATATACACTGTGGTTACACATCATAATGTAAATGATTAGTCAATGGATAGTACCTTTAAATGATGATTTCAACATTAAAACAATGACATAAAGATTCTGTCAATTATCCCATTTATATGTTGCTTCTCAATTCATACATTATAATAAATCCTCCCTGCAACCTTTTTTCTGCCTTCCTCTCACTGACTTTCTAAAATGATGCACGAGACAAATGCTCAGCCTGTTCAGAACAGTTGATCCCAGATGACATTTAAATTTTCTTTCTTGCATATGAATCAACATTTAGCACAAATCAAAGAGTTTACCTGAGGTTCTTTGGCTTCATGGAGCTTTGTGGTAATTACTGAGTCTAAACAAGATGGGAAAAATTCTCTAATCTGTGTTGATGAAAGAGATCCAAATCTACAATCTCACATTAGATAATTAGGCTTCTATCGGGACTCGGGAGAGTTCGTTAGGGAACAGTGAGACTGCTCTGGTACTGTCAGGTTGCATGTAAACACAACACTTCGCAGTCTTAGGAGATGTTACATCAAACAAACCTCAACTGAAAGCTACAAAATTTCATATAACAAGGAAGAAGCACTAAAAGTTGATTTTATCTTAAAAGTGCCAAAATGTCCACTAAGGCAGTTTGAGCTGTTCCACTGTTAATTTGAGGAAGAGGGTGCACATCAGTGCTTCATTATTTCTCTTGATTAACATATTGTATGGGCAAGATACTAACCCCGTGTTTGCCTACTGGTGGTGGTCAGAGGGCCCGGTGGCGCCAGTGTCCGGCAGCCTCGCCTCTGTCAGTGCGCCCCAGGGCAGCTGTGGCTACAATGTAGCTGCCATCACCAGTGTGTGAATGTGTGTGAGAATGGGTGGATGACTGAATGTAGTGTGAAGCGCTTTGGGGTCCTTAGGGACTAGAAAAGCGCTATACAAATGCAGGCCATTTACCATATGATTTGGCTAGTCAGACAAATTGACAGCATATGTTTTCAAGCAACGATGCAAGGTTGGAAAAAGTGAAGAATTCTCTGCAATACTGCAGTTCTTCCGGTAAGCTAACGATTTCAGATTCAACATGAGTTGAAACTCTGCGACAGACTGGCGACCTGTCCAGGGTGTACCCCGCCTCTCGCCCTATGACAGCTGGGATAGGCTCCAGCACCCCCGCTATGCTATGACCCTCCACATGAAGTAGGATTCACAATGGACCCACAATATACTACCAGAATCCATCCAAATCACTGAATTCAGGTGCTTTCCAATTACTTTTATGGCCACAGGTGTATAAATTAACCTAGGCACGCAGACTGCTGCTTCTGCAAACATTTGTGAAAGATTGGGTCACCCTCGGGAACTCAGTGCGGTACCTTGATGGGATGCCAACAACTCGGCTCTTCTCTTCTCTCCTCCATAGTTTTGTTTTATCTTGGTCTCACTGTCGTCTCATTTTTCCTTTTTTCTTCCCTCAGCTTCCTCACTGAGCCTGGTTCTGGCAGAGGTATTTTCCCGTTAAAAGGAACTTCCTTCCCACTGTCGTCAAGTACTGTGGGGTTGTTGGGGTTTTCCCTCCAGTATCGTAGGGTCCTTGCTTTTCATGTGCTCTGAGGTTGTGAAGTGGCACTATATAAATAAAACTGAATTGAACTGAATTTAATTATTTCTCTCTTAGATTCAACAACAGAAGTGAGTGGAACTCTCACAGGAGGAAAAACTAATAACACTCAAAATTTCTCTGTTTTAATAAAAATGTTATGCTTCGACCCATGTTTGATTGAAAGGCCACTTATTGGTTTAATCCAATCAACAGCAAGTAGTGATTGTTTTTTGTTGGGGGTTTTTGGCAACTTAATAAGCCAAGTTGTTTTTCCTTGTGTCCTCTTCAGTCTGATGAGTCATCAGCCATAACACTTCAATGCAACTGACAATAAAAAATGATATTACGAAATATGTCGTCTGCGTCTTTTGACTCCAAGGTTCCTTTTTGTCTTACATGCTGCATCTCGTCAGCACTTTTCTTCTCTCCTTCCAAGCCTTTGAAATTGATTTTCTACTCAACTGTTGCTCAGTATAGCCTTGCTTTTTCTATCACCTTTTTCCCTGTTTTGTTCTTGACAACTCAAGTAAAGATGAAACATTGACTCGTGAATAAGAGTCCTGTCTGCTTTTTACGTACCTAGTAAATAACATTAAATAGGTCAAAATTTAAGTTGCAGCCCGCTAAGTGGGTTTAAATCTGGGTGCTTAGAGTAAACCTTGATGCTGTAGTGCTGCTGTAGCACAATGGAGTGACACTCTTCCACATTTTAAGAACATTTTCTGAATGGTCAGAGTGGTTGTATTGATGGTTGAGATTTATGATTTTCATTTATACCCTAACAGAAAGAAAACATAGCATCTACAACTTACGAAATTATTGCTTATGTTTATTTTATTTCATTATTATTTGATCGGATGGTTGGTGGTTCGATCCCTGGCTCCTCCAGTCTGCATGCCAAGTATCCTTGGGCAAGATACTAACTCCAAGTTGATCTCCAATGCATCCATCAGCGTATGAATGTTAGTTAGTAAGCACTTAAAAGCACAGAAGGAAGAGACTGGGTGTGATTGGTTGAATGTGGCATGTTGCAATATATATAATATATATATGAATCAGTCCATTTACCAAAGCAAAGATATATAAGGAACGTGTAATAGCTGATTACACTCATCAGACAAATATTTGTATGATGTTGTCAAAGCTAGTCTAACATTTAACCATGTGCTTGGCTGTAGTTTACTAATGCATGCAGATCTGTGTTTATAAGTCATCAGTCTTTCATTAGGCTGTACTGTATGCTGCGTATATTGCACTGCCTGTTTACTGAAACATGTTCCAGTTATAGTTATATTATGAACATAATGTGCAGACTCTCAACTTTCATTTGAGGGGATCCACATTCAAACTGGATGAAGGGTTTAGGAGTTTCAGCTACTTAACATGTGCCACCCTCTTTTTTAAAGGGAACAAAAGTAATTGGACAGTTTACTCACAGACAGGTGTGGGCAATTTCTTCATTATGTCAAGACTGTAGATGTTGTGAATATTATCAGTTAAGCAGATAAACGACCTGCGGTTGATTTGAGGTGTGGAGCTTGCATTTAGAAGATTTTGCTTTGAACAGACAACATGCGGTCAAACAAGCTTTCTTTGAACAAATGAAACCAAGACCAACCTCTACCAGCATGACGGCAAGAAAAAAGTTACAAGCTACGTGTGTCTGCATAGAAAACAGTCAGGATCTCTTTATTTTTGACTGTAAACTCCATAATCAAAGAATGATGTAGCATACAGGTCTAAAAAGTAAAATGTGTGTTCTTTGACTAAGGGGTGACTTCTCTGGGTGCAGGACTTTAGATTTTATGGAAGTTGATAGGAAACTATGTTTATTTGGTAAACTGTGGTCATTACTAGAGTCAGAAGGATAAACTAGGGAACGCTCAAGCTTCTGACTTGAGTGACTGACTTAAACAATGATTGAAAAGGTGCATTGACAGATAAGCAGATCCAGTGAAGCCTTTCATTTTCAATTAGTTTTTTGTCATTTGTGCATTTTGCTTTTTTTCCTCCATTCTTTTGTTACATTAAGTTGCAGATGCAGCTGCTGTTTCTAAAAGTTACTATAATATAATCACATTCAATGTGTGGGCCCAGCAACTGCAAAGTGTCAATCAGGCTCCAATGATTAGTCACTCTTAATGAGGACCAACTTAATTAAGAGTCCTTCCCATTCGATCCCAAGATGCAGGTTTTCATTCAGTCAGTTGCTATTCTGCGTGTGTAAGCGCTGTGGGAGACAGTCACTGTGTTACTGCTCACTGATGCTATAAGTGTGGAATTAACATGCAAAAGGTAGTGATTTAATAAACACTGCACGAGACAGAAGAGTTCCAAGCAGAGAATACAAAATCATATCAGAGGAGTAATTACACAGATGAATGATGAATGTGAAGAATCAGTGTGAGAGAGGAGGCAATTACCTGGATCTGACTTGGAGAAGGTGTCCATGTCTAACAGGTTCCTGCAACAAAAACGTGTGGAAGACAGAAGCATCAAAGTGCTGCAAGGCCAAATGGTTCATGATAAGTTTAACAGCATGACAAAATATTTCATGTGTTCATAGTCGTGTTCTAAAAAGCATTAAGGCTGTCCTTTCTTTCAAACTCTCTCTCAGCACTGTAAAAAGGACGGCTCTTACAACAGAAGCAGAGTGCACTCTGTGTACTGTATATACGTGCAGTCGTATGTTAGTATCACCTTTTAGAGAACTCTGCTTTCAAGAATGTAACTATGGTCAGATTAAGAAACTGCTAATGCTACAAAATAGAGGCACGTGAATGGTTCTTTGTTTGTGGGTGTAGAAGAAATATTACAACAATACACAAATGCCTTAATTGCCTGACTGTAACTGCACAATATCGTGAAAATGCCTACAACTGTCACAGACTCAGTAAAGTTCTTCTATAAGATTTATCCAAATAAACTTTAATTCCAGTGGAAATATTACTGCATACATATCTGAAACCAAACAAATCAGGTTTTTGTAAAAAGAAAAAGACGACAATTAAAAGCTAAATACATTCTGAAGTGAACTAAGATCATGTAACACAGGGTTTTTACCACAGTGACAGCAGGACATACACTAGAGACGTGCTATTTCCTTCATCATTTTGTTCCTGCAGGAAGAAAAATGAATCTCACACACACACACGAAAAGCCACACTTGTGTGTCAAATCATTGCCGGGATTACAACCCAATTTCCATCTAACAACCTGACACTTTACTGAGAACCGCCTGTGATAACAAACAGCGTTTGATAAAGAGCTGAGATGTGGGAGATGACAGATTGAAACATTGCCCTCTTGAGGACTTGGAGCTGTCAGGATGATGAGGGTGGCTACGGGGAGCACACACATCCTCGCATGTTCACACTGTTCTGTTCGTGTCTGAATACAGTATGTTCACATGCATGTGTGGGCATCAGTAAAACAGCCCTCGCCTGTCAGCACACTGTGGCAGCTTGTAGTGCTATAAAACAACCATACGAGTACCCCACGCAGATGATTTTATCCTACGGTTTTTGCCTTTTTTGGAGGACATTTTTCTCCCTTAACTAGGGAAGCAGACTGAGTAGCGATACCAGATAAACCTGGAACTTTCAGTTTGTACCAAGATGCAAGAAAACCTAATAAAAGATTCACAAATACGAGTAGTCCTAAAAGGCCATACACATAATGCTGTTCATTCAATTTGCCTGGAAAGCAATCAACAACATTTAAATAGCTATTTAATATAATTCTTTTCCACCATGAGCCCAAGATGGTAGCAGGCTAAATGTCAATAGATAGGCAGAGCTATGAGAATAAGCTTGTCAAGCTTCAGTCTAGTCTCAGTTAACAATAGCACACTCTTTCAAAGAGGATCCCAAAAGAACAGAAAGCCTTTAAAAACTTTCGCTCCCACATGTTGCATCTTCTTTGTAATAGAAAACACATCGTTGTTTACCAAGCAGGCATCCCAACAGTTTGTAGCACACACTCTCTGACAGCAGCTGGTTTGGCTTCACACCACTTTTTAGACGTCTTGACTTCACTTTTTTAACCATCCAACATGGAGTAAAACTAGGTGATTGTGAATAAACTGTTAACAACCAAGCATTAAAAAACTTACCAAAACCACGTTCCATCCTTTTAGATCTTTAGATTTTTAGAGACTTCAGTGCTAAAACGCTTCGATCTATAATTTAACCTGATGTGAGCCATTAAACCTGGGCAAGTACTTTGATGCTGCCACAGCTTACCTACAAACGTGATGACTGTAACTTAGCAGTATTCATTTTCTGTCACTGCACCAGCTTCTCTCCCACAGAGCAGGGATCACTTCTAATAACAAACCTGTCAAACTGTTAAAAACTACATTCTAATTGACGACTTTGGTTTGTGTCAGCTCTTGCTGTGGCTTCTGACACACACACACACACACACACTCATTTTCATATCTTGGGGTGGCTGTAGAGGTAGAGCAGGTCAGCTGCTGATCGGGAGGTTGGTGGTTCGATTCCTGACTTCCCCAGTCTGCATGCCAAATATCCGTGGGCAAGATACTAACCCCATGTTGCTCTCCGATCCATCGGAGTGTGAATGTGTATGACTGTTAGATAGGCACTAACAGCTTAGGAAAAGTGCTGGTGTGATTGGGTGAATGAATTAGTTGTATAAGAACTAGAGATGGCACGATACCACTTTTTTATGTCCGATACCGATATCATAAATTTGGATATCTGCCGATACCGATATGAATCCGATATAGTGTTTTTTAATCAACAAAACTGTT